TTCATGCAAGGAAATCATGATGACTTTTATTTTTGAGGTAAACTACGGAATAGATTGTCACTTCCTTTGATAAAAGTTAAGTTTATGTTGTACACAAAATCGTAAGATTATTCGGAATCGCTGTCATGATATTCAAGGAATTGCATTAAAAAAAGCTTGAAATGATGTGAAACTCAATGTTTTTTCACGTCAGATTTTAAAAACTGGGTACACAGCAGACAGAACTTTGTAATTCTGAGGAAGTGATTATATTGTGAGGCAGCGTGGTGGAATCAAGCTCTCGTCAAAATAATCAAAGCGAAGAAACTTGCTTTTTTCTGTTGGTTTGTGAATTTTTATCAAATTTTTGTTTTTTGGGCCAACGCCTTTCATGCCCATTAAATAACTCATTTCTGCGTGGATTTTTCTGGAAAATGTTGATTAAAGGTGCAAAAAATGTAAATTTTCAGTTACCACGGACTCTTAAGCTACGGAAATAACTAATCTTTGGCGGCCATTTGCTCACTAATTTTACTTCTGAGAACAAGTGACCCCTACCTCCTTCTTTCGCAAATATCTCGACTTGTATCTAAGATAAATGGATATTTTTTTCATCAAAATAAAGACAAGTAAACAAGCTTTCAGATGATACCAATAACTCTACATGCCCAAAAATTGACGAGAGCCAGATTCCATCACGCTGCCTAATGCGGGGAAACAGGCACTCGTCAAAATAACGAAATCGGACAAACAGGCATTTTTCCTTGATTGGAAATTTTTATCAAATTTTTGTTTTTTGACTTAACCTCTTGCATGTCCATATAAAAACACATTTCCATGTGAATTTTACTGAAAAAAATTGATTAAAGGCACAAAATGTGTCATTTTTTGTTTTACAAGACTCTTTAGCTATTGGAGCTATCAAACTTTGGTGACCATTTTCTCGCTAATTTCAACACTGAAAAATGGCGACCTCACCTCCTTCAATAGTAAATATCTTGAGTTCTGTTCAAGATAAATGGGTGTTTATTTCATTGGAAGCTAGGCAAATAAATCAGTTTTCAGATGATACCAACAACTTCACAAGCCAAAAAATTGACGAGAGCCTGATTCCACCGCGTCGTGACACATGATATTATTCCAATTCCTTAAAGGAACTCCACAGGGAATAGAGCCCGTGCCCCTGTAGCCAGACCACATGAAATGTTGAACAAACAGCATAATATGAGCAGTGACATGACACACAGCGACACATACACACATTGTGGAATGTCAGCTTCGATGAACAATGTGATCCCAGACATCAAAAGTAATGTAAGCTAAATCATTCCTTCTTAAGTAGGTACTCTGTACACATGTACAGTAGCTTTTTTGAGGAATTGAAGGGGGTACGAAAAATGAAAGGTCTAATTAAGTCACCTTTAGGCCGTTTCAGGAAAAATATAAAATATAAAGTTGAATTTAAAATAAGCTTGATTCCTTCCGAGCTTGGTTACGTTGTAAAAGCCATAACTTTGATTTAGAGCCATCTAGTCATTTCATATGTGGCGTCGGTGGTCTAGTGATTAAGCTACCGGACTCGTAATCGTGAGGTTGCGAGGTCGTGGTTCGAGCCGCGGGCCCGACGTTGTGTCCTTGGGAAAGGCATTTCACACGAATTTTCCTCACTTCACCCAGGTGGAAATGGGTACCCGGCCATAGCCAGCGAGAGATCTTGTCAGTATGTTTGT